ATAAAAGAATATCATAACAGTCGCCCACCATGAATCTAGATGTAAAGTAGTGTGGCAGAATTTGGTTCTACTTCAGTTTCAGAGCCAGCATTTTCGATCTATCCTTTTTTCAAATTGATTTATTCTTGTTAATAATTGAGAATTTTGTTTTAACGGTTAAGGAGAGTTAACGTCCCAAGTTAGCTTGTGCACACCTCCTTATTGGCCTCTCCAAGAAATTGCTCCTTGGTCTATAAGATTGGGATCAAACATCATAATCTAAATCAAAGACAAATGATAAAAATCCATATGACAACAAAAGCATCTGAAGCCAACATTGCGCTAACAATCCTTATTATAGGTTTTGTCTAGAAACTTCACCGCAGATGTACGTTATTCCTCGGGGACCCAGTACATTTCCAGCTGAATGCCGGAGAAGGCAACACGCTTGCCTTCGGAGCTTTCAACAATCACCTTGCTGGAACTTTAATCCTTCCCCTGACCCTGTTCAAGCCATTGCCTTCCATTCCTGATGAAGTATTAATAAGAACTTCAAGGTACAAGCTGATGTAATTAATGGTATCTGTTAAGATGTGAACATAATTATATTTAGAATTATTGTAAATATTTTATACTTTAGAATATTCTCTTTGTAAACACCTATATATAGGTCATTGTACATACAATATAATTCAAGAAAGCAATAAATCTTTCTTCAGATATTTCTCCTTCTTTTCAGTTTCTAACATGGTATCAGAGCTATAAGCTCTTGGTTCTTTTCTCTTATCGTCGCTGTTGGTTTTTTTTTTGGAGATGGATTTTCAATTCCATTCCAGATCTGACATTTTGTCATTGGGATCTCTTCTCATACAGATTGGATTGTTTATCCTCGATTCTCAGACCCTTTTTGAGGTATTTTGTTGGTTTGTTATTTCAATCTTGGCATCTATTTCTCCATATTTTTAGAGTTTTTCAGTATTGTGAGTTTACTGATTCTATGACGAGTTTTGAAAGGATTGTAACTTATCCTGCTACTGCTATGGTTGCCAAAGAAGTGATAGAACAACCTAATGTCAACCTTGAATCCCTAAAACAGCTGATATTAAATCTTTTTAATGCTCCTACTGCCTTATCTACTGCTCCGGGTACCAAACCTTGGTATTTCGATTTCGGTTGTTGTAACCATATGTCTTCAATTACTGCTCATTTCTCTTCAATGTCACCTAATAATTCTTTTCCTGATATTTATTTTGCTGATGGTTCCCCTATGAATGTTAGTCACATTGGTAATGTTTCTACAAAGTCGTTGACTTTACCAAATGCCCTTTTAGTTCCAAAACTTAGTTATAATCTTCTATCTGTCGGTCAATTATGTGATCTTGGCCTTGAAGTAACATTTTTTGCTCATGGTTGTCGTGTGCAGACCCACGGACAAGACAACTTCTTGGAACTGGTCGCAAGGTGGGGCGTTTGTTTGAGCTCAACTATTTGCATATCCCTGATAATAAAATGGATACACCATCATTTCCAAATGATCGATTCATCCAAACCCTGCTTTGTGCTATTGAATTAGAGTCTTTGCAAATTCCATATCAACAAATCTTCCAAGTCT